AATACAGGGTTAGCCTCAACTCGTGGAAAATGTAAATTGTTAGCGCTATTGTACTAACAACGTTTTCTCGTGCTTTCTTTTGTGTTTGGTAAGTTCATTGCGTAATTGAATCTGCTGTCAAATAAAACAGCGGTTATTCGCTTGGAATTCGAAAATGGAGTATTGTAGATTGGAGTAATTATCTATTGTTTCCCCTATAAAAATCCGCTTCTTAGATTTTTTTCTCCATGGTCAAACAAAATGTGGAATGTGGGCTATTGGAAGAAATACAAAATGTGGGGCGCTGTTGGCTGGATCATGCAAAAAATACTCTAAAATACTACGTTTTCTCTCTGCTTTATTGTGCTAAACTCAACACATATTCCTAGAATTCAAAATTCTTTTAGAAGTAAGTATAAGTTTGAAGAAAGCACAAATGTCAATGATCTTATAACCCACCCCTTACCCATGACATCACATCCGGTAAAACGTAATTCTTGAATTGGCCTAGAATTGTCTTTATTTGGACAAAAAGTAATTGCATTGTATTTCAAAATAAATGAGTTKGGAGTGTTAGTTGTCGTTGGGACATCGGAGAGTGGCCGGGTCAACTCCTGCGTCCTGGATAAGCCAATCACATTCAGGACCACAGCATGATCGCCTCTCTGCAAATATCAAGACACGATATTAACATTTGTACTTATTAGAAACTTGAACTTTGCCATAGACCTTTTCTGAAATACAAAATCATAGTGCATTCGGGTCTTACTTCAGTTCAAACAACGCCATATATTTGGYCGCATGAACAAAGGCACTAGGCAATRCAAACTGCTTTCTCAGAAAAGGTCTATTTAGTGATGGTGAACGAATAGCATAGCTGTTATCATGAAGAAACAATTTTTCCCTGCATTAATGCCCTTTGGCAAGGTTTTACCCAACTGCAGTACGAATATACATGAAAAGATAAAACTTTTCACTGCAGTGCGTTTTAACTTTGTTTTTAATTCTACGGTACGAAAACGAATCAGCACTCTCGCAAGCAGACAATGGCAATTTATTATACCATGCGCCCTCGTAGGACAGAAACCTGCCTTTCCTCGAAAGTCGTTCAGCTTTATYAATGGGTATCAACTTCGTCTCTCTGTAGGGGCGTCCGCTGACATTTTATTCTACTGCCGACGCAGACTTGAATTATGCTTACCTAATTCCAATGCGCCACTGCGTTTATATCCTGAGAAACCTCTCGCTGTAATAAGAAAATAGTTTACTTGTAAGACGTTTCGATGTACGTAAAAGGTACGTAAAAGGTACGATAGCGCATGTAGAATAACTGATTTCGTATTTGACGCATTGAAAGTTGGCCCTCTTTCATATAAGGAGATTTCATCAACTTCKTGGATAGTGGTCACTTCGCTTTGTCTGCAAAAGCTGCTTAGAGACAATTACAAAGAGGCGATATATATAGCCGTTGAAATGTAATCAATATCCAAATATCTCTAGAATTTTTTTCAGTAGGATTCAAACGTTAACCTTACGTGTCAGTACCGTTATTGCTTTGTTTTACTTACCAATTTGTCTTGGAAAGCACCTGGCATTATCGACGATGAGTCCTAGACTACTGAGTTTTTCTAAAGCTAGTCTGTTGCAGGGAATTTCTGGAAAAAAAGAGAAAGATTAGCCAATCTTTTTGACAGTTTCATTTAACACCGACGTAGAAGCTATTGAGATTTGAATAGGCCAGATTCCTTGGCTCTGTGTGCCTCGCACGCATTTGAATTATATTTGAATGGATAAGAGCTGACTCTCCGGGTAAACTTTCAAAAAGATGAAATGACTATTACTTTAATTTGATTTTCAATAAAGACATCAAACTGGCTTGATCAATGGACTTTATGGTAAAGAATATAGAAGAAAAGAGGCATGTAAATGCCAATAACTAATAAAATATGGTTTTTGTCTGCTTCTTACCTTTTATTCGTCTGTACTGTCTGATTTTACTGTCAATTGATGCTGTCCCTGCAAGAAAGAGATTATTAACTACACCACGCAAGTCGCACAACATGGTATTGAAAAAAGTATTAGGATGCCAGATGTCTTTTATTTAAAAAAAAACTACTGAAGATTTCTTTTTAATCATTTCTTTCCGAACTAGGAACTCGCGAATCCTTGCATTRAATGTATAATGTCTACAAACTTCAGCCTGCCTTGGAGAATAACTAATACTTTTTGTTTTCGTAAAACACAAAAAAGCATCCTCGGGAACCCAGGGTAACGATCGTTCCTCACTCCMAGAAAAAATACCTCTGGGCACGAAGTCTGTTAGACCTTGTTCCAAAGTGTACTTGTGCTTGTTTCTGATTGGTCRAGTGATTCACTCAAACATTTTGATTGGTTGATTAATTAACCGGCTGCCATTTTGAGTTTTGAATCGAGAACAAGGTCTAACAGACTTTGTGCCCAGTGTTAKTTTTTCTGGGAGTGAGGAACGAACGGCAAAAGAACCCCTGGATTCCCGAGGATGAAAAGCAAATGAACATGAAAACAGGAAACAACGACAACGGATTTGAATTGGTACTACGCATCACAAAACCATTAATTGGTGATAAAAATGTGAAAAGGCATATGGTCTTATACTGCTATTCAACTCCTAGAATCCCACGCATATTCCTTGTTATTCAAATGTCTATTTTCGTCTTAGTAAAACAATAGGATATAGTTGCATGCAGAGCGAAACATTCTGGGAGGTATTGTATCCGTATAAACTCATCACCAGTGCCAATCCCCTGTGGATCTATAGCACCACTCCTTCACTAAAAGGATTTTTTTCATGCGCTCCAAAAGGGCATGTTATGTAAACTATCAGAGGAAAAGTGGGAAATGACATACAACTACCGAAGATTAGTTTGAAAAATCTTGTCCAGGCATTTAGAACGTATTACTWGTTACAACATTGGCTCTTTTATATTATCAATTCATAAATATTGCCATTTCTACGCTATAGCTAAAAACTATTGTTAAATTAGATATGAAAGTTTTCCTTTCTCGCCACTTGTTTACTGCAGGTCCCTTATTCGTTTCACGGCAAAAAAAAAAAACAACTACAAATAATAATATCTTAATTATAGATAAGGTGTATGGAGAGTACAAGAGAGTTCTAGATCGTTAATATGCACTCAGACATATTTCAAAAACCCTTGAAGTTTTTTTTGTTTTGAAGTAACGGTTGCTAAACCAGCTAATAGTCTTGCTGAACTATTTTGAATAAAGCATGATTCAACCGAAATCCACCACGGACTCCCGGCCCTCCGGTCAAAAAAATCTCCTTCCCTCCCCGGATGTTTGGGGCTCGGATATTCATATAAAACCATACAACATGCGATTTTTTCTGTAGCTGAAAATATGGCCATCCCGTTATGATACTATGCGCAATGAATAATACATCTCCCACCACGAGTCTCTATCTTTTTTGTTGTTTCTATTTTATCGTTTGGAATCATAATTATCATTATCTTTTATTGCGTTCTAGGATTTCCCGCGTGAGTTTAACATTCAAAAGATTGTTATATACAGACTTCATGTCTAATATTCGCGCAAAAGACCTTTTAAAAATCAAATCTAAACCTACCGCATTGTAAACATTGACATTTAAGAAAGATATTAAATGCTTGAATTTGTAAACGAAAAACACTCAACAATGATGCATGACAAATTTATATTCGCAGAATGTCAACAATTAAGCCACTTCGTAGTCGGAAGCGTAGATTCGGAGATCTTTAATTATGAAATTTCATAAAGTGACGTTCGTGTCCACACCGCTAATAAAATATRAATCTACGCGATACATGAATAGGAAATAAAAAAAGGCTTATCTAATAYCAGATGTTCAAAGCTGGAATAAGATGAATGTTTTTTCAATATAACCTGGTAGTGGCAGTTGTTGCTTTAAAAAGACCAGAATTAACCAGAATTATTTTCTTCTAACAAGAAGTCAGTAGTACGTTATCTACTTTCAACTTATCGCTTCAACCGCAACAAAGTCAAGTAGAAACCCTAATCCCAATAATGTTGTTGCTTTAAACGATGTTAATTTGATATTTTTTCATAACTATGAAGTGGTTTATTCCCCTCAGAAAGGATAGGTTTGCTTAAGTACAAGTAATGACTCTAGGATGGGTTTGCTTAAGTACAAGTAATGACTCTCCAATAGTGAAAGATTGTCTTGACGTCAATACGGCCGCAGAATACGCAAAAAAGAACTTAGAGATAATGACACACCAGAAAATATATACACGAACGACAATTAACTGGAAACTTTTTTCTGATGATTTACGCGATGTTTAACAATATTAGTCTCATGCTCTAACTGCACTTTCACTTGTTCAGTATTCACTTGAATAATGAGTACAGATTCGAAATTGATATTAGTGAGCTGCCAATGACTTGACGTCAGAGTTCAAATAGTGTCGTACCCAGTCCTAACGCACTCTTCCAATCACCATCGTCAGTGCGCSAGCACGTGTTCTTCAATTGCAAATGATGAGAGACTTGATAAATATTGAGCAAGAAAATGATATGTTTTGTCTACTGATAAACAACAACTAACTAGATGTTAAAAATTTAAATAAGATTTTGTGAATATTTTAGCAAACAGCCTTAGCAAGCAGCAATTAGTTATAAAGTAAGTTTCGACTGCTAAATAATGAAAATAGGGTCACATGACAAATAGCCAATGCTGATTGGTAAAATAGCTCAACATTAATGCAAACCGGTTGCGTACCGTTCTGGCTGAGCCTCGGCCTTTAAATAGTCAACCTCGAATGGTTATTGATATTCATATGCCAAAAATATATTAAAATATTGCATTCGCCATGATTGCTGGTCGGAAAGTCTAACTAGCTAGCGTCTTCAAGTGCACTTATAATAAATAGGCAACCAATAGGCCTTAGATATGTGATTATATGACGCCTTTTTGTACTATATATTATCCGTTCGACAGTTACAAATTTAACCGAAATTCAATCCGTAATATTTCTTCCTACGAAACAATAGCACATCATGATCAGCAGCAATATATAGTTGTAAGGAGATGTTTTTAAAACAGACATTAACTATCAAATTATTTCCGTCAATATTTTCGACCAGAAGCATTTGGTGTACGCCCCAGCTTCGTTTCTTTATGGATTCGGAGAATTGTGTCACGTGATGTCGACATCTATTAAGTAAGTATTGTTTGGTTTAAAGCTTTTATGAATTTGTGTAGCGGATGTTTGAGTTAATTAATAAGGCTTCTCTATGTCTTAAATGTGACAGTGTAAGTTTATCATCTTGATAATTTGTGTTTGACATTTTTAATGAGTTTTCAAATGTTACTGTTTCTATGAAATAGTATTCAATTTCACAAATAAAGGTCAAAACTGTTCAATTCCAGTTATCAAATATCCTGCCGACCTATCCTGTCAAGTTTGAAATGACAGTTTACAACAATTCATTGTTAAACATCGTGCGGCGAACCACGCCCTTGAGACACGCATTAGCATTTAGTAGTCGTTATTTATTAATTATCTCATAGAAAAATAGCGTTAATAACTATACTTTTGAAATGCGACCTTCAATTAATTGTAACCCCCAAATAGATCCTCATATATAACGAACTGATCAGAGTTCTTTTAAAATTGAATCTTTGTTTAACTACTAATGGACGTCAAAGCAATCATCTGTCAATGGATGGCCAATAGAAGAACATAAATCAAATGTCTAGCTCAAGGAGGGGGGGGGTAGGATGTTGAACGGGAAGCAATTGAAGTCTTGATGTTTTTAGTAACAGAAATAATCCCTTTTTTCAAMAGTATGCAAAAAAAAACGTTGGAGYTATGTTGTTTTGTAATTTGCCCCTGATGTCCTATGAACTGATTGTGAAATTTTAAAAGTGATCTATTAAGTAAATAATAATTCTTGGCTTGAAGACATATGGAGAGTCCCCTTTTTGTGCAATAAACAACAACCGATTTTCAGCCCTATTGGTAGATAACACCAGAGTTACGCGGAGAATCTTAGTCTAACATTGCCTCTCTGTCGTCATTTGAAAACCAACGGCCGAAAYCTGCGTTCATTTGCGGCCGTTTCTTACTGATGAGATGATAAGAAAAAGGAAAATGATATATAAAAAAAACATTCACTGAAAGACTCCTTTTGTGTGGCAAATCAGTTTTGAAAAAAAAAACGCATAAATTTAGCTTGAACATTGCCAGGAAACACTGAGGTTGGACTTTTAAAAGCTCTTTTTTCATCTCTAAATTTTTTTTTGAACGAAAACCCAGGAAAACCATTCCAATTGCTTTTAAATGATAATAACTAAAGCTGCCTTCCCTAGAAAGCGTGTCAACCGTTAATAGCCCAGTCACTGTCCGTATTAAGACAACGTTCGAATATGCACAAAGAAATGCGTGGCTTCATATGGAAAATGGTTCTCCATTTTCCCAATAAGCAGTAAAAAATATCTAAATTGTTAGTTAAAACCCATAAGTCTCGTTATTCCAGATACTCGCAAGTCTTTACAATGAATTGAAATTAAAAATAAATGTAGTTTTAAAGTCGATGCTTACAGGTCCGGTAATGTACGGTGATACATGTATACTTTTGAAATTGCCAATTTGATGTTATGAAAAGTTAATTCAAAAAGCCAAAACAATACCACTGTAAGAAAGAAAGACATATCTTTTGACTAAGAAAAGTGATGTAAGAAACCTTTGATGATATCATGGGTACACTTTCATTTTAGGGCACTTGAGAATCTATTGAGAATGGTTCTCGTGTTTGCTTGATATTTTTGGTAATTATGTTGTTGATCAGAATTGACGGTAAAATAACCAAGAAAAAGGCATAGCTACAAACACATGCAACTTTTGATAGAAAAGAAAGTCCCACAGTTGACATAATGTAAAGGTGTTTTTAGCGAGGAAGTGAAATATTAAGTAACTCCTATCACCTTAAACTAGTGAAAACGATACCCTAAAATTATTCCAAATGTTATAAGAAAGTATTTAACGATCGTGCTTTACTTACAGCTAACAGCAGCGAGAGCAAATAAGACAATCGTAATTCTTGTAACCATTGTTTCTAGCGCGGATCGTAGATGAAAGTGCCAGGCTATCGGTATGTTGGTAGTATATATGTGTCGCTAACACCTGCCCTAGCACACATCCATTGAAATGCGTAGTTGGACTATCATTAACACCGCAACGAACCCAGAATAATTCCCTTTCTATATTTAGGACCAAAACTGGGGCGCAATCTCAACCTTTTAAAAACAGGAAGATTGAAATTTAAAATTTGACATTTTAATTTGAGGAATTTTGTTAATATGCGTTCATTAGGCTGTGGGGAGAGCATGAGAGCAATAACTAGAGCAGACATCCCGGCATTGATAGAACTARCTTGATAAGCCGTATACTCATTGACACCAACTGAACTAATTAAAATAATGAACATTTTCACATCTCATAACAAAGAAAAAATTATTTCATATATTAAATTTTTCTGGGATAACTTTTTCATTTCATTTTAGTAAACTTTATAGTGTAAAGAAAATCTGGCAATCGCGCTTTGATTGTAATTACACTTCTTCAAAGCCGGCTGTGTGACGCTCTTCTGAGCTTCCTGAATRTAATTATTATATTTGTTCGTTAAACATTTAAAAAGAATTGAAATAAATAACAAACAGACTTTTTTTTTCAAAAATGCGGTTACGTTGTATGTACATGTATTGGTCAAGGATCAATGTTATATAAACACTATTCGGTCGATTCAAGMAAATACGAAGGCGTTACGCTGAAGGTTTTTTGTTCTAGCTGGCACTCGCAGCGTTCTAATTGGCGGAAGTACAAACATACGATAACTGTCCTATTGCTAGAATACCCACTATAGATAACTAAGATAAAGTCGAAATTTCTATTGAAGGAGCTTKAGAAATACAGTAGATTGTAAATGTCTATAACAACTCTACCAATATCTGCCCACTCAATATGACTTCTAGAAATAAGCTGCTGATATCCCTGACATTCGTTTTTTAAATCCGTGAAATTATTCAAGAGTTTTTTGCCAGTTTAAGTCCATTAGCGTTGGGACAATATCGGCGGAAGCTGACTCCAACCAGAGTGGGTTGATCTCAGTAAGAAGAGTGCGTACGAGTAGTTGGGAGATAAAAAATCTAGAAAAAATGAAATGAACTCACGCTGAAACCAATATTTCTGAACATTTATAAAATCTGTTTTCTTGGTCATAATTCCATGAAAAATTTCAATTCAAACTAAGACCAATTTTATCTGTTGATTTTCTGATTTAGTAAGAAATATTCTGTTTATATTCCAGAACTCAACCTGATTTAGTTTTGTTCTTCTTATTTGGGGAAACGTGGGTATTTTTATTAATTATTATATCATTTGATATCATATAGTGATGCTTTTTATTTTTCAATGAATTTAGCGGAAAATGCGATATATTTGTGTCTATACAAGACAGAAACCACACAAAATATTCAAATATAAACTGAGATCCCCAAACATGAATGTTTGAATAGAAGAACCAATTTCAATAGGCATAATTTATCATTTCTCATGAATAGACTCCAAGAAGTCTCCTCTCCATGCTGACTCTCTTTCATGATCAACCTAACAAGTCCTCGTTGTCATCCTTGAAAACCCACATCAAAATTGTTGAAAATGTCGCTAGACTTTTTGAAAGAATACAAAATMYATATCATGTCGTCATACAAACCATGACGCTCTTAAACTAAAATCTATTTCATATTAATTGTCGCTTTTCTTTCAAAGTGTTAAACACGCTTTCCATGCAAAGAAAGCCTCGTTGACTTCAAAGATAAGCCGACATCTTGACTCTGCTAAACCTAGTTTCCATATAGTCGTCTCTCTTTTGTTTCCCTCGCATGATGTAAGACTGTATACTCCACATTATCAGATAATGTACGACAATCACTGAATCTTATCGAAAAATATTTTATAAGACTTTCTATGCTTCTTAGAGAAGCCAGTTGACTTTAGCAATGAACCAAAAGTGCAGTCTATAAATGAATTTTAGTTTCTGCACTCACTTGTTTTCACCACTCCTGTCTGAAAAAAGTACTTGGATTCTATAATAGGAAAAGCTAATCAGTATTCTAATTATCTTCATGAATAAAGTTATACGACCAAAGTTTGAGTTGAAAAGAAGAAATCTTGATTTTAATATATAATCGATACTAAGTCCTATGCTTGTTAGCAAAGCCGCCATCTTGGATTTCATGGTCCATACAATACTCTACCGATATCTAACAGGAAATCTATTGACTTAAATAGTTAGAAAATGTTAAATCAATTTTACACAGTAAAATTTGATTAAGTTCAACTATGTTTATATATCTATTGTTGTTTTTTTCTRTATAAAAATCCGTGTATTACTATCTCGCATTCTAGGAGAAACCTGACACATCATGTACATATTTTGTTGACGGGAAGATTGTTTTTTATATATCAGGCCTATTTCTTATGCCGTTTCATTCAGTACATAAGTTGTTTGTTCGGATGATATAGATGTTTTGTTACATGTGACCTGATTGATTCTTTCACTATATAACCAATAAACAAACCAACTATTAAGGATTCTACGCAGTCCGACAGTCCTTGATAAAAGCACACTGGGCGAACAGAGAGGTGCTTGGCTTGTATCTAGTTATAGATTTGGGCAGGCATTTTTAGGAATATTTCTGTTTCGGTAGTATTTCCCAGTATTTCAGGAATTTTGTGAGGAACGAGAACATTTATTGGCATCCGTTTGCGTTAATAGAGACAGGATTTCGTCGTCTATGAATTTGAGTGGGTCTTAAAATCACCAGGAGGCTTTTTCTTGAGAGCTTGTCGACCATCTTCATTTWAAAAAAAATAAACACTGAGCACGTATATCTCTTGTATCTTCAAAACCAAGTACTGCTGAATGGCCTGGAGGTTTGGTCATTTGGGCTGCCGTCAGGGCAAACGAAAAGAACAGCGTTCGGTGGAGTTAACAAGCGATTAGTCTATAGCACGGCAGGTTGGGGGAGGTATCAACACACGTGATACATGCGTCGTAGTTCAGCCTCAATGTCGATCGGGAGCTGCCAATCAGAAAAGGAATGGCTATAAACAGAATATTCGATGCCTTTGAATCCACGGTTTTAGTTTGTCTATAAGCTTATACATCTTAAAATCGCGTTCGGCACCGACGCAGTCATACAGCCACGTTTGCGGTCACAAAAAAATAGTACAATAGATGATACAATCTTTAGCTTTATTATAGAGAGACAAATAAACTAGAGAACTTAGAGAAAGAATAAAGGGACCAATGTGGAAAGAGAAAGAGGTGTGTCAGTTATGCTGTCATTGTTGAAAGACGAGAGAGTCTCAAAACTTAGTGACCCTTAAAACAGCACTAGAAAATTGTAACCACATAATAAGTTTTGATATWCCAAATTTCGGAGCTTGATTTGTTCAAAGTCACCAACATTTACACAGAAAATCGAAAAAAAGTGTTCATAACATAATTTCGTAACGATGGAAGGATTTCACTGAGTCACAGACATTTTKTCGCTTGACCCTGACTTGACCGTTGACACGGGGTGACGGACCTGGGCCGGTACCCGTAAACAACTTTACTAGCTATGTATCGTTATCTAAGGACAAATGAATAAAATCACACAGTTCTCTATATTAACAAGGATGGATAGTGCGTTCCTTTGGTCAATTGTTTCTTTAGTTTTGTTTTGGTCAGCGGTTAGTTCTAATCCGAATCTACCCGAAATCATTAATGGAGATGTGGCCGAAAACGCCGAAAAGCTTGCTGGATTTCTTAAGTCTGAGAATCTTGACGACAACTTAAGGTATCTTCAATAACAGATAGTATAAAGGAATAGGAATATATTTGTTGTTTTTATAATGGTATCTGACTAGTATATATTTACCTTTGGAACAGTCGTGTGTAACCATTGTCAGCCTGGTAAATCCCCGTAGGAAAATCCCGGCCACAATATGCAATCATGTTCATATGACTATGACTTCACAATTACAATAATGGCTGTATTGACTGTATGAATATATAAGTATTTTGTCTAATAATGGAAATATGAAAGGAAAAGAAAGCTGAGTCCGAAAGTCTTGTCCAGGAAATAACGATCTCTACAACCTTGGAAACATGGCATTGGCGCAGTAATCGTCAGTGTAATTCTATTGCAATCAAATACTGTCTTGAGATGAACAATTCTCTACTCCAAGCTCTAACGGAACAGTCTGGGGTATGCTGAAAGTCCCACGTGTATCCGACAATCTTAGTGCGCTCTCACAATGAGACAAACTTTTCGCCCTCAATTATTTTTGAAAGATTGTCATCGCGCATGATTTTGCAGGATCCATATTGAACCAACCGGGAAGCAACGTTCAAATCAAATATTTTGTAAAACAAAATRAGCGATCGCAAAGGGCCTTGGATGGATAGCCACGCGATCTCGACTACCAGCGTATTTACGTAATCTGGGTCCAAACATCTTAATCAGTGGTCTCTATTTCAATTCAGATACTTGACCAAATACCCTCATGTKGCTGGATCTGAGCGAAACAACGAGCTTGCACGAGAAATAGAGAAACGGTGGCGAAGTTATGGCTTTGATGAGGTACCTCGAATTGCTCTTTGCTGAATTGCTATTGTTCATTTTTGCCATTACCAGCGCGCGTCATGCAAATATTTATTTAAAGACGCCGTATATTTGCATGGGCAACAGTACTGTTATATACAACTAGATCAATGTCACCTGTTTTAATAGGTTCATCAGACACGTTATGATATTCTTCTAAGCCTACCCAACAACAAGCATCCAAGTTCCGTGGGCATTGTTGACRGGACAAACAATATGACAACAGTGTTTCAGCAGCATGAGAAAGTACGTCAATCTAATTATTATCCTAATTGTGCTACAATTTTTTTTCTCTAAAGTTGTTTATTCATATTAAATGAAGTTTAATATTCTACACGTGCCACCGTGACTGCCTAGAATAATTAACTATAATGATAAGACATCTTGTCATCAATTTACCCGTGCGACGCCATTTTGACATATTTGCGACTGTGCATTGGTCGTTACCCACTGACAAAGGAGCGTTGTCCCACTTTTCGGAAACGACTAACTGAGATGTGATCTCGGCCCAAAAGCAGTGCCGTGTAAATGGGCCTAATGCATACACTTAGCAGYGCGGGTCCATGCAACTGTTTTAACCACGTTGAAAACTATTCTTAACAGGTTTTGCTACCAAACGAAACTTTACACGAGGATGTGTTGCCTTCCTTCCTTGGATTCACATGTAATGGAACTGCTCAGGGCAAAGTGGTTTATGCTAATTTTGGAACAGAAAGTGATTTTAAAACACTCTCTGATATGGGGATATCCGTCAAGGGCCACATCACACTCATTCGACAAGGAAGAATATTCAGAGGAGATAAGGTATTTTATTGATATTGCTGCCATCTTTAAGTCCATTGTTTTAAGTATTTATTCAGTGAAACTATTGGATGTGCAGGAGACAATTAAAGATTAATACTAGATAATAGGGTTTTCCCCTATAATCTCTCTCAATCGTTTATTGTAGGTTTATCCTACACTAACAAAACCTTATACAAAATATGCGAGAATTCCAATAAGAGCTAATATGCACTCAATTTAAAAAGCATGACTATGTTGTTTTTATGTACTTGTCATAAATCTAGATCTAGCCCAGTTTTTTTCATATGTTTAATAAGAGTTGCAAAAGGTAATAATGTTTAGGAGAAAATTTACGTATGTATGAGAAAGGTTCTCTAGTGATTTCTTCACTAAACGTGTGTTTATATTCTTCGTCACTAACTATATCATAAACTGTCTTATTTCTCCTTCACTAACTATATCATAAACTATGTCTTATTTCTAAAGATCAAATATTCTGCTGAAAATGGTGCAATAGGAGTTCTAATCTACAACGACCCACAACAGTTTGCACCGGAGGGTGAAAATAACACTTTTCCTCATAAATGGTGGCTACCAAAGAGTGGGATACAACGTGGAGCGGCTGCTTACGACACGGCACCTGGTGACGTCGTGACACCCGGTTACCCTTCTATCGAAGGTAAAAAAAACCCAGCAGCATTTGAGATAATGCATGCTCTTGTGACATTGCAAAAGACGTCGACAATTTATCGTTATATAACTCATCTTTTATAATTTAGAKTAAACTGAAATTGTTCTGATAAAACTTAGACTCTGAATTATTAATTTGTAGGTTTCGGTTGGTTGTTCAAAAAGAGTTAATCAGTTTTTTGACCTCGCGAAACATTAGAAACCACACTTTTAAAAGGGCCAATGTAAGGTGTGTAATAAAACATGACAATAAAAAGAACTCTGTCATCTTTTTATTTTATTTAGGCATCTACAGAATACCATTGGAAAAAGTCAGTAAACCGTTAATACCAGCACACGACATCTCTTATGAAGACGCCTTCACCATACTCAAAAACTTAAAAGGTATACTACCTAACATTGATATTCATAACTATAATATTTTAGCAGTCATTCGATGCGACAGTGATCATGAATCTACCATGAATAACAACGACAAATCAGAATGCTGTATTAGTTTTGATCAACCTTAGTTTGGTGGAGCTAATAATGTACGTTCACTAGTGATATTTTCATTCTAAGGAAAAAAGGCTCCCGAAAAGTGGCATGTTATAATAATAATAATAATAAACCGTTAATACCAGCACACGACATCTCTTATGAAGACGCCTTCACCATACTCAAAAACTTAAAAGGTATACTACCTAACATTGATATTCATAACTATAATATTTTAGCAGTCATTCGATGCGACAGTGATCATGAATCTACCATGAATAACAACGACAAATCAGAATGCTGTATTAGTTTTGATCAACCTTAGTTTGGTGGAGCTAATAATGTACGTTCACTAGTGATATTTTCATTCTAAGGAAAAAAGGCTCCCGAAAAGTGGCAGGGCAGTTTAAAAACTGACTATAACATGGGYCCAGGATTTGCTGACAACACAAGTCAAGTTAAAATGGACATAAAGACATTCCTTGTCACAAAACCGGTATATAACGTTATCGGCACCATAAAAGGAAAAGAGGACCCTGACCGCTATGTACTCATGGGTAATCACAGGGATGCCTGGGTATTTGGAGCCAGTGATCCTTCTAGTGGTACATCAGTATTAATGGAGCTATCACGTGGTCTAGGCGAGCTGTTAAAGACAGGTTGGAGACCACGAAGAACTATCATACTATGTAGCTGGGATGCAGAGGAACAGTTTGTCACAGGTACTTTATCACAGTTTGCACTGACTTGAATATAGTGATAATTTATATATTGTTTAGTGTGCTTTTCCTGTTTTCATTCTCATATCTGAATTATAATAAAAAAGCAAATTTACATTACTTATTGTGTTTGACAGGGTCAACCGAGTGGGTAGAAGACAACGCTGCCGTCTTAAAAAGCAGAGCCGTTGCATACCTCAACATAGACACTGCAGTTGGAGGAAACTTTTCATTYAATGTTGATGGRAGTCCACTTTTACATGATGTATTAGTTTCAACAGCACGAGAGGTCTTGGACCCGACCAGTAAGGAGCCAGGCCTTAGTCTCTATGACGTCATGCTTCAGAAAGATGTTACTAAAAATGAAAACGGCCAAGTCCAGTGTCATAATCTTGCGTTTGGAAGCGACTACGTTACTTTTTACCATTTTCTTGGAATCTCATCCGGCGACTTCACGTACATCTTTGGTGGGGTACACAATATACGACGATCTTATCCTTTTTATCACTCCATGTACGATAATTACTACTGGATGAAAACATTCGTTGATCCTAACTTTAAAATTCACCTAGCAGTGGCCCAGTACGCGAGCARGCTGCTCCTTAAATTTAGTGATTATAAGATCCTGCCATTAAACTCGACAACCCTGGTYGAATTGCTGGAAAAGCAGACTAAATTACTGACTGAAAACACTGACCTCAAAAAGAACAACATTGACACTTACTCTTTGGTAAAAGAAATAGAAAAACTACGYCTTACATCGGATTCATTTGAAAAACAAAAGGCTCTGGTCTCGACTGAAGATGTACGCACCATGAGATCAATGAATGACCAGATATCCGGTCTGGAGCGTGCTTGGATYAACGATATTCAGGAATATCCACAAATTGTTTTTAGAAACATTATCTATGGTCCAGACTGGACTAATATCTATAATGGACGCTACTTTTGGCGTGTCTATGATGCTATTAAATCGGCAAAGCTTGATGGGAAGTGGGATGAAGTTCGCAAGGAAATTTCTGTTGTTGTTTATGCGATCAAATCTGCTGCTAAAATTCTTGGACCTGCATACCTAGTAAACTGATTCCATTACCACTGACCAGTTGAAAAGACACAAAGACAACACATTAAAGTCATTTTTTTTTTGAAATTCCAATGGGCGGAGTTTCAATCTAAACATTATGTAAATTCCTTCAATGAAAAGGTGCAGCTTGATATTTCTTATTCAATTCAGCAACAACTTTTCCTCCCCCTCATTGGTCGAGAGTCAACCACGTGATGCGATAGTGCCCGCTGCGTTCGGATACTACAGTAAAWAGAGCACGGCGTTTCAGAAAATTTTGATAGAGCACAGTAGAGCAGTTTAATCCTGGGCAATATGCTGTAGTCGTTGCCCTTGCAATCGGAAGCGTCTATTTCAGGTGAACATCTTATTCAACATGGGCTTCGCAAATAATTTTACTGCAGTATTTATGTATTTACAAATGTTCATCGCTATTGCCATTGCATGCAATAGTAGTTTCGAGTGCTGAATGTAGAGACTACAATATGGACTTGGAAAGCAAGTGTTGTAGATAGTGTAGATTTTATAATTAGTCATAATTTGTAACTATCGACTTAAAAAAAGAATTGGAGCAACAAATAGCATGTTTTTTTTTTGTTTTTACTATAAATTAACTGTACAATGATCTATTTAATAATGATACACAATGTGATGTGATGGTCGGTTTTTGACTTGAATCAGTCTTTGTAAAGATACAATGAAAGCTGTCCATCCCATCAGCATTATACCGATTCCACTGCCAATAGCGAAAGCTCGATGACTGTGAATATGTTTTGCAGCCACTGTTCCATTTGCTTCTTTCATCTTCAATTATTAAAAAAAATATATTGCCAGTTAATCTTAATTAAATAAAGCCAGGAACGGGCAAATGTGATGTATAAAATTAAAATGTCTGAAAATAGTGAGAAATTCCTTGAAATTCCTTGTCTACACAATGGAATTGACGTCTTGGCACTCAATTTTCTGTCGACACTCCCCATCAATATTTAGTTTCTTAACTGGTGTTATTTCAACTATTTTTGAGCGATTTTGCAACCGAGAKGAATACGGAATRTTAAATTTCAACGGTTCTGAATCCTTCTGAATTGTGTACCGACGGACATTGCATCATTGACATATTTACTATACAACGGTGGTAATAACGATCAATGATATTAATTTAAAAAGTCTGACTATTTCCATTTAATAATCTTACTGAGAGTAATCCCTTCTATTTACTYCTCATTCTTACCATCATGTTTGTTCCGGTGTCGCTGGACGGTAAAAAATGACTAAAGCATGCTGGGTTACTCCTGTCCTTTTCCTGGCATGGAACTGTGATAAAAGATTCAGATTATTCTAAAAAAYGCTTATTCTAAACAAAAACAGTGATCATGCGCACAAGATCTGTGGATTTCCTGGATCTAGAGCAAACGTTTCATGCATGCACAAGTCGGATTTGACATAGCAATTGCATTATCAATTTTGCCAATAAGATTTGGACATCATAAATGATGAAAAAGAAGTGATGCATGTATACATTTACTCAATAAACGTTTTAAGGGGCAAAGCATGACCAGAGTACGATTAGAAAAATGGCTGTGACTCATTTGGAAAACAAATTTTCCCAACATGATAATAATTCAGCCATGGAAAATAGGCAAGCCATTTTTGCAATCGTTCCGACAAGCAGATAACAGCAGCAAGATGTCCGATAGTACTAACRTCTTCAGTAGTTATATGTTGTTCAATGTTGTTCAGTATAACTCTCATACTGSTCTACTTACTTGGTTGGTAGTAGCAGTAATATAATCTTGTGTTATAAMGATCTTCTGATGGTCCATATGGAGATATCACACTACGACGATCTTTGTTTGCTTGATCTTCGTCATCAAATATTACGTATTCTATAGAGACCTGGGAACCAGTAATCGTTAGGTGCACAAGAAGAGATGTTATTTTAATTTTGATTAAAAAAAATTGCGAAATTAAAGGCTCGCGAAAAAAAGTATCCGAGAAAATTAAACACGCGAAATTTAGTGCACTTCTATAATTGCTTTCATCACTTCACTTCTTTATACGAAAATCTTGATTGTAAATCGTTTATTGTTTAAGTAATCATTCAAAAATAATAATTTTTAAGTCTGTCTGTCTACCTGTTTTTCAAAATTTTCGCGATATTAATTAAATGCACTAAAATCCTTTTTTCAAAATCGCGAAAATTAATGCTCGCGAAATATTTGTGKTCCAAATTCGCGCAATTAAGTGATCGCGAAAAATAATACGAATAAGGTGTACTAAAAAGTCCATTTTTACCTTAAACTGATGTACTTGCTGGCATTGTTTCGTTCCAAATGGGAAAAGAAAGAAAGGCTTTCCAGTCGGTAGTAGCATGGGCGTGGTCGTCTTGCCTCTGTTGTCACAGCAATAGTATATAAGGGTATTTTTATCATACATCCCATAAGGCACTGCGCCACCATATTCGTTAGGGAAATCAAGAGAAGTATTCTCGTCATCCCAGTATATCCACCCTATAAGCACAATAAACATTTCTTTGAATAAATGACATAAGACTCCCAATAACTGTGTGCATCTTTACTTTTATTTAATTATACTTAATTATACAAAGAAGCGAAGGCAGTGAGTATTGAAATGTATTTGAAGAAATCGGTACTTGACTTTAGGGACCGGTCATAATTTATATCGGGTCTTTTTTTTTTGTGTCTTTTGTTTTGTCCAAAATGCAAAATTTCTCTCTGGCCCACCCCCTGGAGTATAATATTTGAACCACCCCGGCCATCTACTACTGTTATGTCAGATTCCATTAAAAATTCCAATGTTATTTCATGTATGAATTTAAAACGTATAGGAAATCCATTGCATATTTTGTTTYATAACATTATTCTCACCTTCATGAAGTCCCGAGGGGCACTGGTTTCCATATTTATATATGCAGTATTTCCCCATAGGCCATTGTCTTGTAACATGTTGCGTTCTTTGAATAGCATCATGCATGCAAAATTCTTGTCTAATTCCATGTCTTGTTATATTTCCCGCARGATGACTGTTCTTCGATCTTTTGTTTATATTGCCGAAGTTTTCAGAGTCTTGGTATCGAAATCCTTCTTTCCAGTCTTTACCAGGACATCCCGTYCTTGGCTTTGGAAGACCGTAGAGCCCCTTTGGCCAAMTATTATAGTCCTTTGGTATTGAATTTAAAGGCAGACCTGACACGATATTTTAAAAATGATGATCCAAATGAGAGCCCTAATATAAAATTAATTTTAACGGCTAACTATCATGAAGGATGCTTAATTGTCATTGTGCGTTTACAAATCACGCAAGACTGTCAGATGACCACAAATAAGTAATGGAGTACCTTGCAGATATAAAGAATCCTTCTTAACTGGGATGTTCCACAGTTTTCCTAGTTTTATGGCGTCACRTAGTCTTGCAATTCCTGTCACGGACTTGCTTTGTAGATAAAGTTTGAATTCCGCGGCGAGATTGCCTTCAAGCGCTGATTGCTTGCTTGGGTGGTCTTCGCTATAAAAGAATGTAATCATAAGCTTAGGTAATGATTAGTACGCTGAATACCTTTACCTGAATGCGCATAGTTCTAAAACGGTTTATGCCAGTCACTAAGTGAAAACCCCAACAAATATAAGCCTAAAACTGGACGTTAATAGATTTAAGATGTTTTTATAAGCCAACTACAACTGGGTTTGTCTACATTTAATAGTTCATCTATTGCAAGGAAAACAAGAAAGGTTACTAAACGCTGAATCCCATACATATATTTTTATGATTTTAAAGTCGAAATTATGATACTTGCCGTAACTGCGTAACAGTGACATTCCAGAATACTGGATCATCTTCGAAATGCGTCTGTAGCTTAAAACAAAAGAATAAGAAACATATGTCAGCAAAAYGCACAGCACTATTGGAGTCTGTAATGTATCTTTGTGTTGGCTGCCCCCGAGAATAGCCGCCGAGAATAAAAAGGTATCGACCGATGGATGAGAATGCGTGTAAGAGTATTAAAAACGGCCAGCAGGTTGGCGTAAAATGGACCACGGGAGTGTCCGTTTACATGTATTTAAATGAACAAATCGTAATACAAAAATATAATGCAAGTGATACTAACAGAGCTTAAGAGGAAGTGGATGGGGAAGATGGAGGGTACATTCAGTTCTGCTATCCACCATGAGGCTGTAGTGAAGAAGAGAAAGCCTGCAATGGCACCTTTTTGAGCTACGTGCCGGAAGTCCACTAACCGGAAGTAATTGGATAAGATGAAACAACCAGCATAAAATATTTTATCTAATGCATTCTCTCGATAAACATGAATGCCTTACCGCTGACATATATTCCATATATTGAAGATAACATTTTCAGTGGAAATGGCTATTTTAGAAACTTCAAATATAGTGTCTTCATCACCCACATGTAATTGAAGCGACAAATGTAATTGTTCGCAATATATTATCAGCAATTTTTCTCTGCAATGCTGATATTTGCATTGTCTTCATATCATGTCATTTTACCTACCGATTTTGTAATTCTTTCCTTCATCACTTTGTATTGGTGAGAATGTTTAGAAACCTGGAAATCCGACCACTTTCTCTGAAATACCACTGATCCTGATATAACTAAAGGGTCTATCAATGAAATAGCACTTCGTTTAATATATCCAATAACATCAATATCTTGAATTGTATTATGTCCACTTCAAACATCATATGTGRCGAGAACAAATGTACGTACTTTGACTTTTTGTCTTATTTCTTCAGTGCAACATGTACATTATATGTGTATTCGAAAATGACAGTTTTCATTGGGAATTTTAATTAAAAATTTTTAATTAGTTTTTAATTTTAATTAAAAGTTACAGCTCAGCTTTTTATTGCATAAACACGTTGTAAAAAAAAACAACAGTTTCTTTTTTTGTCACAGGCACATTCAAATGATTAGTGATCAGTTGATCACAGATTATGCGTTCAGAAAATATTTGCTAATCAGTATCTTGAAGATTTCCAGTGAGAGATCAATGTAGTCTCTTCTTGTTATGTAATCGTTATTCGTATAATCACGTATTTCTAGTCACGTTTGTAACTCGACCTCTTTCGTAAAACACTATCGAATGCTAAATCGTGTGCTTTGATCTTGTGGAATCATCGCCGTTATAACTGCGAAGCGAGGGAGCCCCTCCCTCAGTCGTGACATKTCTRAATAGTCTCTTCATCTKTCATGAGCTATATAAGCAAATTAATGAAAAGCTCTCGTTTGTTTTTATCAATTTTGAATATCTTGTATCTCAATGATACTTACCATCAAATATCCTACATTTATTACTACACATCAGACTAAGGGCCGTAATCCGCACTAATCCAGCATTCTGATTGGCTACTGAACTATTGTCTATTAGTTATTCAATTCCTGATAGACCTCATAGAAGTATCGAATGGAGCGAAAGTAAAATAGTCGAAGAAATATCGAGAAAAAGTGTTCTTGAAATGGCCTCTGTTCAAATTTGTGCTATAGCCATWTATACTAAAATAAAAGACCAATCGACCTCGTGGACTACCAAGTACTAGTATGGGCTGCTTGACATCGCRTTGCTAAGGTACCAAAACAATGATTTTGACCCAGCCTTCGATATACAACAATCTATAATCATCCTCTGCAGTTTCTAGATGCATACACCAGAGAATACCCAGTTTTTATTAAAAAAATACATGGTGGATTTTAATATCTTTAATGCAACGTTTCATAAATTGTATGTTCATTAACTTGTCTGTAAGTTCAAACAGACTTAATTGAAATGTGTGAATTACCTTTTGTGTGYTGATAACTAGCTGTTACCATRGCAGCTACAAGTGTTAGCAACAGGTATTCATGTGTTTTCATCTCCTGGTAACGAGCTCTTCATTTCGATGAATGCAGATTGCGACCTGATAACATAAAGGAATACATTAGTAGGAACGAGTTGCTGTCGTTGAGACAATATAGACAAGAACAATTCCTGGCCTGATCGAAAGCTTTTGACAGTCAAATGAATTCCATATGTTCATTGCATCTTTTAATCTTCTTAAAAGTCCAGTTTCTCTAGACAGGCCCAAGTGCCTGTAATCCATAATGGAGTGTACATTTCTTTCCTTTGCAAATAGGGATAGCCTGTTGGCTGTGCTTTTCTCTCATGGCTATTTCTATCACTAAGATTGATCGTCACAATCTGTCAAACTGGTACTCAAAGGATTTTCAGCCACAACACATTACAATAAAAAATAGGTATAAAGAAGTAAAGAATAGATTTGCGTTTTTTTTGCATACACAATGAAAAATTATAAGTTATTCTGTAATAACTTGTAATCATTTGTGTTTATTTTTGTKTCAGTGTATTTCTTATACCTGCAAGAAGCTCATTCATTCGAGTCGATATATAAACACAAACGTTTATTTGTGAATTTGTATTTTTAGGGRAGATATTCTTAAAAACAAGCCTTAAATAGTTAACATGCATTATAAGGTAATTACATTTTTCTATTGGTTTTGACAATAAAAACYGAGAAGCAGTTTAGTTATGATGGTTGTGTAGCGCCTTTCGATTTTATACAACAGGTTACATACCGTATCCCTTGAAAACAGCTTCTTCGTTCTTTGTGAGGAGAATTAGATCAAGCAATTTCTAACTTAAAATATAAATTTGAGATACTAAACGTTTTTACCTAAATTCCATAGTCTAGTTTTGAAAGATGCTACATTCCTTAAATGACGATCCAGTTTAAGGTTATTGTTAACCTAAACGGTTCAAATCAAATGAAAATCACAGGTGGTTTTTCATCGGTCAATGATCTGAATGTTAAGCCAAGCTGACAATTTTCCGATGCAAACACTTGAACCATGAATTCTGGCTTTTGTTAAAAAAAATGACATGGTGTTGAAAAGTGTTTAAAAAATCTCTAAGACTGAGAGTAGCGTTTTTTAAAGCAATTAGATAAATATSTATGTAAGCTATCATGGAATAATCGTATATTCATCCCTCTCTTATACACTTCCAATATGAGGTACCAGGAATGTGCTACAATCATTGATTTTAGTTTTAGATTTTCACAAGCAAAAGTAAGTATTTCATGGAAGATYATATGATATAACTTTAAAAAAAATTAGACTTCGAGGTCGAGTGGACTACGAGTTGATAGTGCAGTGAAGTCTAACTCGGACGTATCCACCAATCTATGTTGCAAATGTGAGAAAGAGACCATATTTACAGCAGAAACCGTTGCATCGCGACTTCAATGTTCAAAGGAAATAGTTGGGATTTAGGTTTTTCTGCGACTTGGGGGCGGAGCTTGACACTAATCAGCCAATGAAAGAAAGAACAAAATCCAGACAAACTTCAAAACAAAGAAGTCGCGATGCAACGATTTCCGCTGTAAAGAACAATTTTTCGTCGATATTTTTCGACCATTATCTCTTCGTTCCATGCCACCATGATCTATCATTAATATATCATAGTTCAGTGGAGATCAGTGGCCTATCAGAATTTTGGACTTGTAACAGACCATACATAGTTTGACAGATACTAAAACAGATTATTAATCGGGTAAAGAAATTGATTTTGAATAAGATTTATTTATATTGAAATARTTACTTTGTTGCAAGGATTAAGTTGGCTATGCCAGTTAAAGATTTTGCGAGTTTGTGTTAWTTTTTCTGCAGAAACCACTCAATAATTGAAACATTGACAACCGTGACTTACTGGTCGGCTCTCAGGTGAAGACTAGAACATGCACGCAGTACTAGCAGAACAGATTTGACTTGAAAAAGTCGTACTAGTAGCTAAACGTTTAGCTGATGCTAGAGGAAAGGAGATAATAACAACAATCATGCTTTCTTGTCAAAAATGGTGTCCTATCGGTTTATTGTGTACCATAAGTCAATTATTCACATCAACCACYTAAACGAAATTAAGCATCAAATTATTAAAGTCTCTTTTCGCAAATAAACGGATACTCCATGTTGCACAATTTATCCAACCATTTTCCATACTTTCCAATGAAAACACACTTCAGTCCAGAGACTGATGGTTTGGGCATTTCTCTTAGGAAAGGCATRTACTGACCAACAGGAGTACCGTCAGACCAACTCAATTGACCGGTGTTTTCTTGATCGTTCAGACCAATCCATGCACCATGTTCTTCGTTCCAAACTATGGAAACAWGTATGCTGTATTATCGTATATCAATGCATTTATACTTTACACTTTATAACATTTTGTAAAATTTGGTTATTAATAAGGATCACAGCAAAATACTTACATAAAAAGGTTTGAATTTCAGGAATAGACATTGTCTCATTGATCAGTACGATTTCCTTCAAGAATCCAATGAGAGTTCGATTAATGTTCATGTATGCGTCTTCTCTAGTACCCATACGGAGCTCCTCGCTCCCTGTTATCACCGGATTTGCCTCCTTCAAAGACACATGTTTCGTACCATTGATTACAAAATGACCCTTTGTAGCRCCATTCTTATTCCAGGATACGGCAATGTGGTTCCAAGAACCGTATTCGAAGCTGTGCATATCAAATATATAATTGTTAACGAATTGAAACATTATRCTTTATAAATGAACCAAAATAATCTCAAAATTAATGCATAGATTTGAATGACATGCATGCGGGATCTTTGTGTATTTTAGTTTGGCGTTCATTTAGMGAGTCTTGTTCAGAAGAGAGTTTTAGCTATGATATCTGCAAATTTCAGACGTACTCCCAAATAAGGCTAGAAATTACCAATTACGTGTGAATATATGGAGTGCGAAAACAACTAAGATATGCACTTTTTGAAGACTTAGGGACTGCGCAATATCTATAGGAGGAGAGGGGTTTGAGAAATGAGCCAAAAAAATCAAAAAAACGTTTATTACTACCCCGCTCGCAAACGAAATAAATACTTTCTATTCGTGAATAAAGAGTTGTCTCAAATCGTGGTACGCATTTCTTGAGACTTTTTCCACTTCAATAAGTATTTGGCAAACTGACAGAATCATTACACCGTTGAATTTTCAGCAAATTAGATCCCCCCTCCTGATAAATATTCAGTCCCTTATTTGCATTAGACTATGGTCATTCGAAGCAGTAATGTAGCACCGATCAAAAACATTCTAATTCTGTCTAATCCACGAATCAAGTGCGTTCGCACTGTATCATAGATGTCTAACAAAATAATCAATATATAATACAATATTTTATCTTGAATCACCTTACATATCCTTGTTCTACATTTCCAATGTAAAGCAACAGTGATGTCCTGTTAACTTCGAAGAAACAGTCCATAGGTGCAAATGGACCTGTACTGTCAATCCTGAGAGGATGTATCCATCCATCTTTGACGTCGTTTTTAAAAGGTTTGAACCAATACATGATTGTAAAATTCTCTCGATTCATGTTAAAATCAGGTATTTTTCCATAGCCCTGTCTACCGTTAAAATACAAAGCAGTGCCTCCATCTGCGGATTTGTACTCTGCATGGCCAGACGTTCCTTTTAACCTGTAAAAACACATAACAAAACGTAATAAACACGTAACAAAACGTAATAAACACGTAACAAAACGTAATAAACACGTAACAAAACGTAATAAACACGTAACAAAACGTAATAAACACGTAATAAACACGTAACAAAACGTAATAAACACGTAACAAAACGTAATAAACACGTAATAAACACGTAACAAAAAACTTCTGATTTCATATACAATCAAAGCACACTGAAGAAATTACTATCTCAAAATAGTCAGAATATTTCTTACTGTACAGTAGACTCCGGTTTGTTTAGTTTCCAGGAATCGTATGGCACACGAGCATATGGCTCATCTAGATGAAAATGACAAGGTAATGATATAGAGAAGATATTTCAAAAACGTTTGTCGGATAAAATGGCAAATTCATGCAATTGACGAGTGGAGATTGCACGACCGAAAGCAGCCATGCTTCTTTTTACTAAATGATGGGAAATGATAACTGAAAGTTTTTACAGCAAAATGTAGTCTGTGGTAAACTGTGGATCAAATAAGTCTCCATTTTCACGCAAGTTGATCCAAGCGAGTGACATTTTGCAAGTCAAACTTAGCTTAGGTTTTACATGGAAACTCTAGATTTCCAGATATCTGTCCCTTACCACTCCTAAGGTATGTCAAGTTCAGCTGCTTCACGAAGACCTCCTTTACAAAGTTGTTTTTGTCTGAGCTGGTAATGGAGAGAAGATCACCACCTAACGACTGACAATGTTTACGAGCATCGGTCCAGTTCTTCTTCTCTGTAAATAGCTTGATAGCAGYGTCTTCATAGCGATACCATCCATCGCCCAAATCTATTGATGATCAGGTACTTTATCAGAGTTTGTCATAGAAAAAGTGAAATGTCTGCCTGTGCATGCATGAACAAGGTTGTAAAAMAAATAAAAATCTGATTATTCCGAATGGTATAATTACATCTCACTTAAACATTCTATTGTCTTAGCGCAAAGGATCATGGTTGATAATAGTCTCGAAGGGTACGCAAAGTGACTGCATATCAAAGAAAATGAGCACTTATCCATACATGGTAACAAGAAGACCCCACATATAAGCATACCTAACTCGGAGATTGCGTAAGCAATCCATATCAGAGAATTGCCCCACAAAAGTTGTCCTTCGTTTAGCARCCATATAAATATGTTAATCTTACCTTATTTGGAAGTTCGATAGRAATGGTTTTTGTCGATTTTCTCGACTTTTAAAGCTTAAAATCGTCTGAAACTTGCAGATATTATAGCGAAAACACTTCTCAACAGCCGGCCATTTTGTTTGTTTCCATATATGGCATGGATTCGCAAGAGGAAGCCCAAAACTAAAAAGCACAAGGAACCCGCACGAATGTCATATTGATAATATGACAATATTGACAATTCTTTGATATGGAAGAGTTATTGGAGGGGGATCTACGATTTGCCGGTTAGTACTTCATGTAAGATCCGACCGATATATACCCCAACCCTAACCCTAACCCTAATACAGTATCATATTAGTAAGTACCAATTCATGGGGTTTTACATGAAGTGCTGACCCATTTTTCTGTAAACTGTTGTTGCCATAGTAACACAGCGAGATGGCGGACGATTCGGCGTGTAACGTGTTATAGAAATGGCATTTAAACACACAAAATGTGATTTTTGAGGCCTGCAATTTCTAGTCTTCAGTCTTACTAACTAATCTAAGTAGTCGTTTGTCAATATGGTATATAGATACAGCATTCTACTAAGATGTTTTCGTGTATTATGCCGATCCCCGATTCCGGTTTTTGTCGATATCACTCATCGATTCATAAACATTATCCTTCGTAAAAGATCGATGCTCAGACAACAATATAGCAATAACTGAAGAGTTCAAACAAATAAAAATTGACTGATCGCGGTGTCTTACCCTCCTTTAGTTTGTAGGTATACGAACTTCGGCTGACACTGCTGATATTCTGAAATAAAAGGAAAACAGATTATTGAGAAACAATAACTGCATGCATCATAGATATAACCATCAGATTATCTGAGAGTTTTGTTTCCATATCATCATGAATATAGAGGATATTACATGGGCGCGCGGAGATACGGATTTTATCGAGTGTTGAAAAGATCTCTCACAAGTGAGCGTAGCAAACGAGTGAGAGATTTACAACACGAGAAGATAAAATTCGTATCTCTAAGCGAACATGTAATTTTCTATTTCTCATATAATTTTATATGAAGGCAAATTTTGTCGTAAAATAGCTGTTTTCCTACTTCCACTATATAGAGAAACCTCGTGTTATTTTGAATAGTGAAAATGTCAATTTTACGAAATGGAGAAATATAGGCATTTCATAGATAATTATATGATAAACATGAATATTCATTAAAAGCAAAATATCGTACCGCCATTTCATAATAAGACCATCCTTCTCTCSCCACCATTTTGTGTGGATTTGACTTCTTACTTGAGTTGTTCAACTGACATTCAAACATTCCTTGAGGAGTTTGTCGAGCATTAATAGAAAAGCACATTGTACTCCATGCACAACTACCCCAGCAGAGATTGACGATTGGCTGGAAGATAGTCTCGATCACGTGACCTTCAAGAACCTGTGGACTTTCCACGAAGCGGTATATTTCACAGCACAGAGTAGTACATACAGTTACAGCACACAACAGGGCTATAGCCTCACAACAAAGTGCTCGGTTCATCTTGTTACTAAAAAAATCAATTTTGCCCATTGAAAAGAGAACGAGAAACTATATTATAATGATAACGGGGACGATGACGTAGAGAAGACAAAGAACGTTATGAATAATCAGTGGTTACCACAATAACTGAAAACATAGAAAGTCTGTATCAGTATATAAAAGGCATTGTCGCAATGCTGCATAATTCATGCAAACTGTATCACAATACATGACACGCTTGCCAGAGATTCAAACTTTACAACTTTACAAAATCGATATAAAAAAAATTCCTGCAAGTGACATTCACAACATTAATGAAAAAACTACGGAGTTGCATACTACGAATTAAAATATTGTATTTGTGATTATACTGCACATAACAATGTAATTACAAGTAGACTTCCATTGTCCTAAACAAAAGAGTTTACGTTTGTCGTTGGAGATCGAGAAATACGGCAAATAGGTTGAGCTGAAATACGAGTTAATCTCATTTTAAATTATTCCTTCTTCCTTTAAAGATAATACAGATTTTCTCCCTTTAAGGGTGGTATTTTACATGACGGCCCTCTTGCAAAAATAGGCGGGAGAGTATGTCTTGCATCCACGTCATGCTAATTTTAATTCTAGTTGTTATGTTGTTTTTTATCAATAGATGAATATCATGCTATGATGAATTATAAAACACTCGATTAAACAAAAATGAAATCCATCATCGAGTTGGTCACATCCATAGATGACAAATGAATACTTTGCGATGCCATCTATCTATTATGTTGTAAATTACAATTTATTGCACTAAACTTGAAACTTGAATAGATATGCCAAGATTCAAAGAGATTCTAGTCCTTTTTGAGATTTTAGAATTTTTAAATTAATTAAAATTGGCAAAGAAATGTATTGTAGCCGCCAATCTATGCACGGTTGTGAGCCTCGTTTTCATGATAAACATTAAGTATGGCACTTAAAAAAATCATATCTTTAATTTATGTTTATTATGAGCCATGTTCTTTAAAGTTTGTATCTTATCACTAATGATGTGACCAATTCGACACTTTAATCCGTTCTCATCATCAAGTATTTCCAAATTACGAATTTTTTGTATGATAGAGGTCCATTCCCGYCAACTTCTCATACTCCAATCAGTGTTTTAGATCAMCTGAAGGTTAGAATAGTGAATAATACCTCAAACGTTGCTGCAGTGCATCGATTATTTTTAAGACCATTACTTCAAAACTAGGACTCATCAAATCTATGAATGTTGAAGATTTCCTATTATCTGGCTATCTTTGTGGAATCTTTATCATTACTTGGAATCATATCGCCAAAATACTTTAAAGTGTTCTTGTCATCAGGGGTATAGTACTAAATTTTTTAAGTCACACAAAGTTCAATGTCAGCCGATTAATCTTTCGGCTTCATTAACATAGCCGTTGTCCCCCGATGCCGTGTGAATAAATGCATTTAACAATATGTATATATGCCGGGAAATTCCTCATAGGTAGAATATCTGTAATACAAAAAAATATTCCCTTAAAAAACAATATTTTTTGTAATTCTAAAATCAATGATGACCAACTATACAAAACCTGATGGACAGCTATATAAAAGTCTATTTGACACATAACTAGATTCCCCAGAAATGCACAGACACATAATGATAATTAATTGATAAATACCGATATACATTAAATATAACTGATTAGATAGCCGTTCATCACTTATCTATATATTTTTTTAGATAAGCATTAAAATGAGTTGATTAAAGTCTTACCTTCACCATATAATATTGTTACCAAGCAGCTGCTAAACAAACGGTTACTTTTGACTCTACTTAGCCCCCTTKACAACGTCAATCAATAATTCAATGAAGTGAAAATCACGTCACATACATGGTCGATCCGTTAGGGAGATCTAATATGATTTAATTGATGCAAACACGCCATATACTAAAACCTTCGTCAGTGATTCTTTCGACTTTCCTTTGATTTTCACTTAATTTCGCCGTATATTTGTAGTTCGCCTCCGTTACGAAGATCCAATATGATTTAACAGAGATATAGCACATTGATACAAACACATACAATAAGGGTTAAAACGGGAACTAGTATTTTCAAAAGCGATTCTTGATTTATATTGAAGTGTAACGATCTTTTCCAATATGAGAACTCTTATGAATTCTATATATCTTAAGTCTAATTAACATAACAGGGTCAGAATGGGGGGGTCCCAATATCAGTTAACAGCTAAATTTTGGCAATTTTCTCAGTTATCAGTTAAACTTCTCGGTTCTCAGTTAAGCTACATGTTAATTATTATTTTTGTGTAATAATTAACGACTAAATATTCAGTTATTAAGAAAGGTACGTTTTACCAGTGTTCTTTCAGGCTAAGAAAATTCCCCAAATGGTACTTCAGCTTTAAT